GGGGGGGGGGCCCAAAAAAAAATCTTGCACCAGGGCCCTTTGTTCCTTAGCTCCGCCACTGAGACTAGTAACTTGACTGACCTCTCATGACCAACCTTTTTGCTGCAGTTTTTTACACAGTCCATTCCTGGAGCAGTGCTTTTGGTGTATTTAGGTGTGCTGCAACACTGCCTTTGCAGAGTGTGGTTAGACCTAGCACTCTTAGTAGAACTCATTCTTGGGGCAAGGTGTGTTTAATTCCAGAATTCTTGGAAGGCTTCCAGAGCAGAGTATTTGGACAACACATATCCACAGCTATAATTCTGGCTATTCAAATCGAGGGCAGCAGGTATTTGTGCAATCCACTGCATGAACCCTACTGACTTGACATCTAAACCTAGATGTATCCATGAGGTCGTACAGGTCTATCTTTATAATCAAGAGTGGTGACCACATCTGCCTCATGGGTCTGCTTTTGATGGCGGTTAGCAAGTTAGATGCAGTAAAGTACAGTGACCATAACCGCTCAAGCCCTTTCTGGGCTAAGCAGTTTCATAAACTGATTATAAATTGCATAACTGCCTTATTGCGGTAAAGACTGCACATTCCTCAGTATGGCACAATGGTTTAGTTAGGTCTCAGAATCCTGCTCACTTCCGCTATAATCGTTATTTTCTAGCGATGTCCTAAAACCACGTTTTTGAACATCCCTTGCTTACTGATAGCAATTACTGGTACTTTTTTCTTAAAGGGAAATGTGACATTTTTAATAGCCTCATTTTAGTCATTGCATAATATCAGCAATACTTGTAACTTCAAGTTTAATTGAGGGAAGTGGGGCAGACTGGAAGAAGCAGGGCAGAATTGTAACTCTTATTTCTGCAGTGTACTATGGGTCATTTAACCATTAAATGATCCATAGTACCATTCTTGTATGACACCTGCAGCCAGCCTGCCCCAGCTTCACTCACTGCAGGAGTCGTGCTGGAATGTTGAGCCTGGTCGCACTTATGACACAACACTTCTCATGAAGTGACATCGCATCTGTCCTCTAAAAAAAAAAAAATCCCTGTGAGTGCAGTTAGTAAGAAAGTATTACTGCTGTGGAAGAATCACACAGCAAAAATGTAAAGTGCTTCAGTCATTAAGGAACAAATTGAAAGCTCAGTCATGAAAAGGTCAGTCATATAGTGGACTAGAAAGGAGTGTTTTTACCATTTCGGGCTAGTGTGAATTAATAGAAAGGATGACTGTCCTGGAGCTGGGCACCTTTAATCCACAATAGTGGCTCCCATAATAGTGGCTCCCATATTTTTCTCCTGATGGGTTTTATGTTGGACCATCACTTCCATGTAACTGTCTTTTATTTGGCTTGGTAATGGGGTTGTGATTTGTGTTCTCTTGAAATCTGTTTTCTCTGCAGACCTGAGAACATGCAGGGAGACTGAAATAAGTTGTGGAGCCGTTTCTACGCAATGCATCCCCCGTTATTGGCTGTGTGATGGCGAATATGACTGTGACAGTAAAGTGGATGAAGAGAACTGCCGTAAGTGCTTGACTCTTAGTAAATCTTCATGTAATTCAGCCAAAACTTTACTTTTGACTAGAATCCCTCCCCACTGATCCTCCCCTCCGATCCTCCAGCACTGACTGGAGAGACAGGGGAGGGGGTGGGCATGCCTCTGGATTGACAGCAGGCTCTGCCCATCAGCCAGCAGAGTGGAGCTCAACAGTATTGGCAGGATCCGTCCCAGCTGCGGCACTTGCTGTATAGCCTGCTATTTACTGACATTTGGCTCACCGTAGGTCCTCTCGACCCTAGAGAGAACTATGGGGGATAGTTGCCCAATAGTTCTGTGTGAATTTATGGAATTGAAAAAATGACCTGTTGCATAGTCAAACGCACAATTCCATAGAGTTCAACGTATAGAGATGCCAGATGATACTAGAGAGAATCTGCAATATGGTTCTCATGTATTTAAAGCTTTCTAATTTTCCTTGCAGAGAATGTGACCTGTAGTCCAGCTGAGTTCACTTGCTCCAATGGTCGCTGTATCTCAAGAGTATTTTACTGTAATGGCCACAAAGACTGTAGCGATGGAAGTGATGAAATAAACTGCGCTGCTTTAACGTGTGAGGCTCATGAGTTTCGGTGCAAGAACTCTTCCTGCATACCACTGAGCTGGGTGTGTGACGATGATGCAGATTGTGCTGACCACTCCGATGAGTCTCTGGAACAGTGTGGCCGCCAGCCAGCCCTTCCTCAAAAGTGTTCACCCAGTGAGATTTCTTGTGGCTCTGGAGAATGCATTCACAAGAAGTGGCGCTGTGATGGTGATGCGGACTGCAAGGATAAGAGTGATGAAATAAACTGCCGTAAGCCAATTTCTTTGCTATAGCAATGGTGGGCAGCAACTGCGGTATACGGTCTTTGTTCCCTAGCCATTCCCCCTGTCTAGTCTGATAAAATGGGTCTGTGTACATGAAATGAGCAAGCTCTCTAACTTCATTTTGTGGCTAGAATACAGTATTCATTGACCAGTGAGACTGCTTCAGTAAGCTGCCTTGTTCCCCAAGTAGATTTGTGTAAATAAATACCACTTTCAGGTATGCAGGGGCCCGAAAGGGGGGGCTTTAAAAAAAACTCTTATGCTCTCATAGTATTATGTAAAAAATGTAGTATTCACTAATAATTAAAAAATACAGATCACATTATCATTGAGAAACCGGTCAATGGGTAGACATGATGTGATGGTAATATAGTATAATGGATTAAGCAGAGGCCATTCTTTCCTGGATGCCCCAACATGTTTCGCCTTAAGGCGAAGAAAGAATGGCTTCTGCTTAATTCATTATGAACAATCAAGATTTTTGCTATTATACTGTATTACTATCGCATCTATTTATCTGCTGTTTCCAGCACACGCCCACTATTTTTATAGCTTGTTCCCCAAGTAGAACTTAGTCTGGGGATGTAAGCTTGTGAAAAATCCCAGAAGGAATGTGAATACTCGTAAAAACACCACCGTTCTTGAACTAATTATTTGGGCTGTTGACTTTGCATACAAGATCGGGTTTTAATTGTAGAGTTCAATAGCTCAAGCTCTAATTTACACACCCAAATGATTTGGAAGCAACCCTTCTCAGTCTCAAAATATTCCATAGAAAACTTGTCCCTCTGAAGGCATACTGCTTCTGCTGTACCCGATTTAG